AATGAAAATGAAACCAGCAGGAAAGAGGCAGTAAAGAGGCAGCCCGCAGTCTGTGGTTCCTCCGTTGTGTCTCTCTCAGGTGATAAGAGGCAAACTTTGTTTTAACAGCCACACATCAGGCTCATCACCTCTGACGAAAAAGCCGCAATCACATTTGGTGTCGGCCTTCTAATCTGTGCCTCAAACATCTGCTTATGTACTTAGACATCATTTTCAAAAGTTCCTTGTGGAATTTTAATTCCCTACCGCACACACTCCTATGGTAGGAACTTCCGATGCAGACTCAGTTAAAATTTTGACGCTGCCACTGAAAATTCCGAGATAGTCCACATATTTAAGGAGCACATGAAACTAATTGGTTCTTTGGTTAGTTAAAAAGTGTTTTCTTCCTTCTCTGTTCTTAGTTTTATTGGTTGCGTTGTGAGTGAAATAAGTTATTGACACAGCAGGAACTTGCACAGATTAATACTAGTTTGAAATATTAAACAAAATTGTTTAAAAAAACATTAAAATTACTCATGCATAGATAATTTAAAATAAATAAATATTGTGTTCTGTGTTCTGAACTGCTGCTGCTGCTGAATATACAATTTAGTCATACATTATTTGACACAAATTGAAATTCAATTCCGTATCGATTAATAGATGCTCTGTGGAGTCAGTGTTACGGGCCATTAAGGCATAATGACAAAAAAAACCCTGCCTTGCCCAAGTCCAAAAATGTGCCCGTCTGCCCTGTTTTGGCCTTGACTTTGACTCTGGGTGAACCATCCCTTGTCAGCAAAGCGAATGTAAAGAAATTGAAAGCGATTTAGCTGATAATATCAAGGGTCTATGTGATTAATCATTCACTGGATGTGCAGATTATCATTGTCAAACATTGAGCTGAGCCCATAATAAATCAATCGTAATCACCAAAGAATGACCTTTAAGTTTCCTAAGTAAATAATTTCAGGAATGATTACCTATTTCGACTCAAAGGTTTTGCCTAATAAAAGCCAACTTAATATTAAAGAAAATATTAATTAAAATTGGCATATTTAAATAGAGATAATATTTCAATATACTTAATAATAAGTAAGTTTGCTCAGGCATAACTTTATATCCTGACATTCAGAAACTGGCAATGTCAGGAGCCTGTAATTGTTTTGCTGTTGGATGATGGGGAAAATTGTTCACGGCTTCGTTGGCAGTCTGTTTTATTAGCCCATTTTCTGCTCTGTCATAAACGTCGACAGCTCCACGGACAGGATGCTGAACATTAAAAAAAACCACAGAATTATATAAATCGAACAATAGAAATTTCACTTCCCCCAACAGGAAGATGGCAAGTCGTTCAAAGGAAGAGTAAAGAAGAGCGAAATTTCATTTTTTCAGAGGGAGTTGTGTATTTTTGAGAACGTATTCGTACAATAAAAGTGGAAAAAGGTAAAATTTATTTTAAAAATTTCAATTAAGTCGGAAAAAGTTTTGCTTTGTATGGATGGGATGGTTAGAGAGATTGCTTTCTACCCGAAAAAACACGTTGTGACTCGGGTTCATGGTACCGCATCAATAAATCAAACAAATATATGGAGGAATAGAGCAATTCAATTTGATTTCTGGCTTCTGCAAATATTATCTCTACCGTTTTATTGGCTGACATTGATCGTGTTTATTTATCATACATCACAAAACTCCTCGTAATTTGTAACATGGCTGGGAAGACGTCTTTAATGTTGAAACGAAAGTCTTTAAATTCCACGCTCGGGCTGTCCCACTTTCCAGATCCCACTAGTGGCTGCTGTTGTTTTCCCTCGAGCCTTTCGGTTGCTGTCAGCGTCTCCTGTTTGAATAACCCAGTTGAGTGGGTCCGTTGCTCGACGGTCTGCCCTGTTGTCTGTATATATTGCTTTGCTTTGCCAAAGCCTGGTCATAAAAAACTGTTGCAAAATGGTGCACAAACAAACAAATCGAAGGGACTCTTCAGTGTCCCATTTCGCAACGACTGAGCTGGCAAAAATTCAGAATTCGGGTTATTCTTTGCTGTGTATACTTACTTCTTTAAGGGATAGCAAAAGTAAAAGTAAAACAGCAATACTTTTTACAGTCGTTATTTTAACATATAAATTTAAAATTTTCAATCGATTTGTGCCCAAAGCCAATTGAAAAAGTTTACTGTTGACTTTCCATTCAGTCAGGACTGTGTATGTGCAATATTTTAAATATTCTTGCAATTATGGCAAGTTCCGTTTCACTGTCCCTGAACTTTAGTGCCAGATGTGTTGGATACACCTCAAAACTGGACTGAGATATATAAATACATACGAGAATACTATGTTGGATCTCGATGTTATTGTTGTTCTGTTGGGGGGCTGTCTAAGTCAGGCAAGCAAATGAACACACAGCCCGCAGTATCTAATGGCAAACATTTGTACAACTGACACTCCTCCCCCAAGCCCCAGACAATGTTGCTGCGGGCAATGTCAGATTGTCAGACAAACAAGGGGAGCATTGGGAGTGGTAAAGGCCTTAGAGACTGAGTGCAAAATGTCACAAGGCCACCCGAGCGTGTAATCAATTTGCTGATGTGATAACAAACCAAAATTGAGCCTGTACGCTACAGAGCTCAAATATTTGTTTGGCTTTACACAGTACAGGAAAACCAAGTACCTACTTGAATTTAATTGTGTGTTTTTCTATTTAAAGAGAAGTAAGCTCCCAAAATCTGATCTATTAAGCAGACAGTTGGCCAATGAAGCAAAATTAATTCAGTTAGAGCCCAATTCCATTGCTCAGCTAATGATCTTTTAGTTCTAAGTTGACGCTGGAAATGTAAGAATGAATTGAATGGAATAATTTCAGAAAATACTTCTAGGACAAATTTTTGGTTTCTAAAGCTCTAACTTGTTTTAAGCTGTGGCAGAAATTCCTCTGTGTACTCGAACTTAGACCCAACATATCATCATCGTCAGTGAAACAATATTATCGTTACGAATAAAATCTTCCAAATATCGAGACATTAAAATGTAATTAGGATGGCAACACACAGGCCCCGCCAGAGCAACATCAGCGTATTTATGGCTGATGCCTGTTCGCAGCATGCTCAAGTAGTACTTCAGAAAGGAGGTTAATACTTTTCCCCATTAACGACAGAATAGGTATCTCGCTGGCGGCCTGCTGTGGGCTGCTTACAATTTGTCAGCCAGTTTCCAAAAGCGATTTCCAAAAGGAAAACCATAAAATAAAATATCTCTACAAGAGACTGAACCCAGCTACTCGTTCTTTTATGTTTAGGCTCTGCACAATGTTAATGGGTTATCGACCAACAGCAACATGCCTTCACAAATTTGACAATAAGCCACAATTAATATCGATCAAAAAAGCAACTGTCCAAATTACGAACACAAACACCAGTTGCAATAAATTAAAGCAGAAAATTACCATTTAAATCACATTATATGAGTACGAGCATGCATACAAAACGTTCAACCGGCAGGAGCCCAACAAATCTGTTGACTGCACCATAGGGAACGATGGATTATACCAATTTTCCACATGACGAATGCATGTTTGATGATTCTGCCCCACAGTCCGCATGCCGACCATTAATTCACTCAATGGTTATGGCTAATTGCCTAAATGAGTGAGGCTCAATGCGATGAAAATCACACACAAATTCCCCAAGCAAATTATTCCCTTATTATCATTTGATGATTCCCCTTTAGGGTTGGGTTTCAGCATTTATTTTCCAGCGGCCGACTGGCTTCATAAATTATTCAAAGAGAATTTCGTACACACATTATTCGTATAGAATAACCGAGTTGGTAATTTTGCCGCTAAAAGCATCAAAAAAATGTGTGTGAAGGAGTTAAATTTTTGTATCTCAGATATGGACTGAACTTGAAGGTACTCATTTCGGATTTCCATAAATTAAACTGCAAGTAAAGTATTCATTTTTTAACGCTTGAAAAATTAAAAAAAAAGTTTTTTCAAGTGGCTTTTTAGATTTTTAGATTTTTTAGCTTACTTAATCGCTTGCGTACCACATAAAGTTTTAGATCTGCGTCATGCAAGGGATGCAGCTTTCTCACCCATTTCGTATTGCGACAATTTTTACCGCATTCATCCATCCATTAAGTAAAGTTTCTTGCTATGCGGAAACTTTACTACAAAGTTGTGTCACGCTTCCGCTTATTGTGGGAGTATAATAAACACATAATATCATGAGTTCTCTGCGGTGCCTTCTCTTGTTGCAAATGGAATTTTCGCGTTCAAATATTAACCAAACTCCCTCGTGCCTATGCATAAACTTTTTATTTTACTTAGCATATATGATAATGCCGGGTTGATAGCTACAGAAATATTCACACCAAAAATGATTGCCTAATCATTTGGAATACAGGCTTCGTGACACAATTACCTCATTTAAAGTGTTCCTAAATTTTCCTATTTAATAAAAAACTGCTTCGATTTAGCCTCATGTTCAACTTAATCGCATCAGTTTCCACCAGCAATGAAGATGCCAAAAAGTAAGAGCCACCGCATTTGATTTGAATCTTCCATTAACACAGCATCCATCTTAATTATAATCCAAATTTAAGAAAATAATCTTTTTCGTCCAGAGAATCGGAGCCAAGGGCCACTCAAAAAGAATGTCGAAAAAAAAAAAAAGCCCAGACTGCGTTTAAGAACGATTTTTGTAAAGCTGAAAGCTGCTTAGCACATTTAACCAGCTCCTTGACCTATATGCAAAGCAGCTTAGCTTCCTCCCAAGAAGAGTCCTTCTCTGGGTGCTCCTCCTTTTGCTGTTCTGAATGGCTTATTGAGGAGCTGGTAAATGGCTCCCGTCTCAATGGCCATTGACTTCGATTTGTTATAAAAGATAGGCGTGCACTTGTATGCATTCACAGTTCAATCTCTTTCGTCTGCAAAGAACAATGACCTATAATCTGTATAGGTATATTTTTTGTATTCTTTTTTTGATAAAAACCTATAAAAAAAAGTTGTAGAACTAATTGTAGACAATTCAATTTATTTAATCAAATTCATACAACTTTGGTTTTAACTGACATTTTTAATATCAGTGCTGTTTCGATATACTACTTGTATATATAGAACATAAAGTATATTACTTTTTGCCGTTGATGTCCGTGTAGGCTGAGAAAGCGCCCCTGTAGGCACTAGCCGACGACACGAGGAGAGCAGCGAGTACAAATGCGAAGACCTTCATTTTGTTTGAATACAATGAGACTTAGGAAACAGCTAGAGTTTATATAGCAAACCAATGCAGACTAAACCGCACGGACTAATGGGCGAATCTAAATTATTTAGCGGAATAATTGTATCGGAATGCATTAAAAAATGCATTTAAATGCATTAGAAACACATTCCATTCTCGTTTGTTACAAGCAAATTATCCATGCCATACATACATGCCAAAAAGTTTTTCATGACTCAACAGCTTCTAGGGAATTCTCGTTTCTTTTCGGTCCTTTTGTTCCTTGGGTATGTTCTCCAGCATATTGTTCCGCAAATCTTATTTATGCACTCCTTTATAAAAACATTGTCTATGTAGGCTATGTTGTATTTCAGAATAGAGAAGTAAATGATTTGAGCTAGTTAGTTGTATAAATTCCCTTTAAAGATTTATTTTTATTCTCAACAAAAAACAACACATTATTCATTTACATACATTACAATGGGACGAAGTTACCTCAATAATTGGACCTACTAAAATGAAAATAATGATAAGCTGGTCAAGGGGATACTACAAACACAAACTGCATGGCTCTAACGGCTAATGGCACTTGGAGTAGTGAACCCAACCAGGTCGCGGCCCACTCCCTGGTCCTTCTGCTCCTCAGGGTGGTAGCTAACGCCTTAATCGATTTTACCTACAAAAACGGTACGTCAAAGTGAAGTCAAAGCCACCATAAAACATGGTAATGCCATGAGGTTTATAGAGAAATATTTCAAAAGCCATTGATGTGTGGTGTCTGTCACAGCTGTCACAAGGAAAAAAATATATAACAAACCCATTATTTTTCGACAACGCAAACAAAAATCAAAATTAATAAACACAACACGAATAAAAAATTTGCAATTTATTTTCTGAACAATGAACAACAATGGATACGAGGGCTCAGCAGGAGGGAGATGATTGACATTGTGATAAACAGGAAAAAATAAAACAACAGGATTTTAATCGTTGCGTACACAAAACCCCAATGTCGATCCTACCTGCTGCCATTTTTTTTACAATAAGAGGGCCGCCTCCTCTGAAAATATCTTCGCTTCTGTAATGTGGACCTAACTGAGCAGAAAATAGCGACATACTGCGGTGAGTGCTTTCTGTTACGTGATAGAGATGCTTAAAAATTGCATACTTTTCGTCTGTAAAAATAATAAAGCAGCTATCAGAATGGGACTTTGTCTTTAAATTTACATTTCATTTGAGATGTAGTTACTGAAAGGTAATTAACACGGAATTCTGTGTGCCGTGTAATTGTCAAGTGCTTCGTAGAAAATGCATCAGCATCTTATCACATTTCCTTACATATTTTCTTGCTGCCTTTTCTGTTTGCTCTGCCACTTTGTCTTGTTTGGATTAGAAAAAGGGAAGAAAATCGAGTAAGGAGAGCAGGTTTCCGAGGAAAAACTATAGCCTGACATGTTTATGTTTGCTTTTTCTTAAGAAAAGTAAAGAATGTTCCAGCAGGGCTAACAATATACGACACCGACACCATTTTAATCCTGTTACAACATAACGAGGATACAGCCCATGCTAACATCCTCCCATATTGGACCATAGCAGACAACCTTCTCGTTAATTTTCAACGTTGTCCTGCCTCCCCTTCCATTAATTTAGTCGAATCTATTTTCTGTTGCCATAACCCTAATTACGCAGATGCAAAAACTATGGGAGTTGCCTGATTGTATCTCTTTGGGAGCAAATATTCCCATTCCCATACATATGTGTAAGAAAGACAAAACAAAGAAATTTTCCATGTCCCTGATGAAAACTTTTTTGTAGGTCAAACAGGGGAAGCCAACATCGATTAACCCAAGCAACACGTACTCTATTTTTATTGAATTGGACGCCAGAGAACAAAGTCACAGGAGGAAGAAGAGAAAAGGGGCAATGGCACCAGCAGGAATGCCACAAACTATTACCAAAGTAAACAGAGCCAAACAAAAACGTCTCTGGAGGAAAACTATGTGAAAAGAAGAAAGACACACACAGAGAACAGGCAAACAGCGTGTGAGCTGAAAAAGAAAAAAGAAAGAAAAATGTGCAAAAGAAGAGTTGACATAAGGTGTATGCTCCATCGAATAAAGCTTTTTCTCAATACGTTGACATGATTTTTTAACAGATAAGAGATGCTCTTTTAGTTATTTATAATAAAGTTTTCCTGTAACTTAGATATGGCAAGAATATATGACTAAAGAGTGGACTAACTCAATAACTTTGTGGATGGAAGAGTCTTTCTTTATAAATTTTGAAGAGTGTTCAAGTACCAACGAGTTTTGCCATTCAAACTTTCAAGTTTATATGTGTACAATTTATTTGTTATGAGTAGGCGAAATATGGGGTAAAAGCGATGTCGATTGAAGATGCAGGGTCTGTTCGATATGCGAGAGAAGTGAGTACTAGATCAAGACGGTAGAACGTGAATTTGATAATGATGACGATCATTTAAAAACTGAAAGTACCGGTGGGCGTACCGGATTGCCCGTGCCCTAGTGCAAGCGAGAGAGAGAACGAAGCTGCAGTGGCAAAATGAAGAAGGAGATATAAAGAGACGAAAGAACGGCCGCTGCCGTGAGTAATTATAGGCGGTAACAATATTTATATGCATGCATTTATATGTTGGGGAATTTCAGGCTGGGAAACCAGACATTTTGATATGTAGATGTAAAATTGTTGACTTTTTACCAACTGCAGCACTTTCTTCTGCCCAATGGTTTCAATAATTAAATACATTTAAAATAGAATGTGAATCTATGATTTTTCTGTGAGGACCACAGACACGTTTTGCTGTGGTTTGTGCAATTGTTTTCAAATTCCTGCTGGAAAAAAAACAACAATGCATGTAACGATTTACCAAAAAAAAAACTGACAGCACGTAGATTGAATCTATTCCAAATTTGATTTTAATAAACACAAGAACTCCGCTTTTTTCGAAAACTAAAATGGAAACTGACAGCACATGAACACAGACCAGACACCCGAAAGGGGATACATGTTCTACAACAATCAAAATACACACAATGTCTAACGTTTTTTTTTTACAAAAATTCCCGTTGAATATTTTAAAAAGTTTTTTTTTTGACGAGCGTCAAAATGGATGGAGCGGGGGCGGCCCGGAAAAGTTTCAATTACAAATGTTTGATGCTGGATAAGCATTTGTAATAAATATAGTAAATATAACTAAATTGCTCTATTGCAATACTAACACAGGAGTTTTTAAGTGCTTTACGTTTTTTAAGTCCCTATTCAGCTATCTCTCTCTTTTATTTTTTAACCAAAATGCTCTCTTTTTGCCGAGGTTATTCATTTTATTTTATTTTCGTTAGTCTATTTATATCATTAATTGCCCTTTAACTGTTATTTCTGGTGCGTTCACTAACTACAATTAATTTTGTTCACAACTTTTACTTGTAAAAAGGAACTGAACTACGAAAATTGTCTGCTGAGGGGCATGCGAGAGGGGGCAGAAAAAGTATTGACTGACTGACAGAATGACAGCCCAAAAGCAAGAAATTCCAGGAATTCTTGGAATTGCTTTAGTCACCGTTAATTGATAGCCGAACAAAGTTCAGAAATATAATTACCTGCCATTGCAGGCACGCGTTAGGAAAGTTTTCGGTGCTTTGAGAAATAAATGGGAACTTTCCTTAATGTTTGCAAATAGCTAAATGTACAACAGGGTAGAAATTCAAGCAAAAGTGATGTACATATATATGTGGAAAATATGTATACCAGTATTAGAGCAAGTGAAAAAGAATGGAATGTCCGCTGTTTTCCCTCGTTGTTCCGCTTGACTCGCTGTCATTCACTCCGTGGGGCCTAATGTTATCCTTACGAGCACGTTCCTAGATCCTTGAGGTCAAGGACCTAAATTTGCATTTTGCTATTCGGCACTTTTAAATTTGTTTATCTTACGAGGAGGCTTAAAATATGAGAATTAATTTAGCCTATTTTGAAATGTTTTTTCTTTTGATTGAATTTCTCAAGTACATAAATCTAATGAATACAAAATTCAAGTTTGTGAAGATGTAGGAGAAACCAATTAGTTTTATATCGAAATCTATAGAATAGTAAACACTATCCATTTTAATGTCGCTCTAAAAAATACTGCAGTTCTCAAGTCAAAAATAAAATAAAAAAACGAGAAGGAACGTGTGAGTCGCTTCTGGGGACGCGACTCTACTTATACCCGTACTCAGTCAGTATATACATTTTTGAGCTTATGATTTTTAAGAATTTTAGAAAAAAAAAAATTTTACATTTTACATTTTTTTGCTACATATGATATCTACATCTACATATACAATGTATATTCTACATCTAACATGTAGATTTTACATGTTCCAATTAGATTCTACATCTCCTCCGCTAGGGGTTGCTCGCGCACTGAACGCGGCAGAGTGTGCGAGAGAGAAGGAAAATGAGTTGTGTTGTCTCGGCGGGAGGGGGAGGGGAAGCAACTGAAAATTAATTTCTTCATTCTGGCTATAATTATGATCCGATCTAATTCAGATTCGGCAATCTGGTAGATATGGGCATTTTCTACGATACTGCGTTTTTAGTTTTATCGTATCTTTAAAACTGTGCCTGCCACAGATTTTCGTCCTTTGTGTGGGCGGAAGGGGGCGGGGCGAAATTTTGAAATACACTTGTAGCAGTGGGATATCACATGAGTCTGGAAACCAAATTTGGTTTCTCTAGCTCTTATAGTCTCTGAGATCCAGGCGCTCATCAAGACGGACGGACGGACAGACGGACAGACGGACAGACGGACGGACAGACGGACATGGCTATATAGACTCGGCTATTGATGCTGATCAAGAATATATATACTTTATGGGGTCGGAAACGTTTCCTTCTCTGCGTTGCACACATCCACTTTTACCACAAATCTAATATACCCCTTAACTCTTTTTTGAGTACGGGTATAATAAAAACACCGTGGCTCAACATCATTTTAAAGCTGTGCCAAAGGAGGACCGACTTTATGCCGGAAAACTATCCTAGAACTGGCTACAACTTTTTTCCTGCCAGCTGGAACACAGCCAAGTCAGTCCAACCATTTTTCCGCTCCCATTCATCCATTTGCGCCACAATTACATCTACATTGTGTGGTGTTTCTTTGCCAGATGTTGCCTCAATCACAGCTCGTAATAAAAGTTTCAGACAAACTGCTCTTGGACCCATTCCTTGCATAATGAAACATCAAAATTTGTTTTTTTTTTTTGTTTTTGGTGGAGCCACTCCTCATTGATAGATGACAATTGCTGAAGCACATTTTCTGACGCTTCATTTGTATGCAAATCAACGAGCAGCAGATTTACAGTTTTAAAGCAAACTGTGAACTGGTGTGTAGTCTACGCATCTGATTTAATGGCTGCCTGTGGAAGGAAAGATAATAGAAAAAACTTTCTGTCTTTCCGATTGAAGCCAAGCTACAACTTAAAACAAAATTTTACGATTGTTTTCGATTTTAGTTTATTTTTAAAGTTAGCTTATAAAAAACTTCCACAAAATACTTCGTACTTGTTGCTGGTCCGTTATCCAGCATACATATGGATTTGAATTGTAAAAATCATTCATAATATCTCTGCCAATCCATGTCTCAAAATTAATTAATGGCACAGAAAAAAGAGTCACTTTAAGGTCGAAGCTGTGAAAGCCATAAGTAAGCAAACATCTGAACTACTCAATTTAAAATACAGCAGACAAATGGAATGTACATGTAAACTTCGGCCCCACAATGAAGCACCTGAAGCCATAAAAGGGGTTCAATTTGGCTCAAAATAAAAGTTATATTGGGGATTCAATCAATTTAATTTTCAGCCTACACAGTTGTTTAATATTCAGACTCAATGGCTTTGGCAGGTATCATCATCATTTCTCCCGTCTTCCTAAAACTTTTTGTTGAACAAGAAACCTGAATTTTTATTTAATTTTCGAAGACTTTAGAGTTTTTCTAAATTTTAATAAAGCCAATTAAAATAAATTTTCTTTTAACGTAGATAATTTTTGTCGTATTGAAAACTATTTAGACGGCTGCGTACTAAATTAGCTATTTGTTTATAACAAGCAAGAATGGAATGCGTTTCTAATGCATTTACAAAAGCTATTTCCGTTTATGTAATGTGTATTATTCGTACCAATCGCTGCATTTTGAAACGCTGACTAAATTAGATTCGCCCATTAGTCCGTGCGGTTTAGTCTGCATTGGTTTGCTATATAAACTCTGGCTGTTTCCTAAGTCTCATTGTATTCAAACAAAATGAAGGTCTTCGCATTTGTACTCGCTGCTCTCCTCGTGTCGTCGGCTAGTGCCTACAGGGGCGCTTTCTCAGCCTACACGGACATCAACGGCAAGAAGTAATATGTATATACAAATATATACAAAGCCCTGATATTCCATTGTTAACACTATCAGCGGCGCTTTAAATAAATAATCATTGTACAAAAACGATGAACTAAAAAAGCACGTCTACAATTTATTCATAAGCAAAAACCCCAGAATTTACCTGAGCAAAGCTTTTAAGGTTGCTGCAGCAGGGACATTACCATTGTCTTATATACATTGCCGACATGTTAGTTTAGCTGAACAACAGGCAGCTTTCTTCACTACATTTCAACACATCAATGATTAATGCAAAGCAAAACTATATAGGTCCGAGTCCCTTCTGTCCAAGTTCATTTTCTGTAAATCTTTTGCTGTAAGTGCGGGCCATTATGCCAAAGGCTGGCTATGCATACTGGTACTCAGATAAAAGCACGTCTTGTAATATATGAGCAGACATCAGGCAGAGGAATGTTAGCTTTTAGACTGCATCTGGCGAATAGTTCCCATCTGGCACACTGCCATTATTAATGAGGCACTTGACATGGCCCCAATGGAGGTTAGTGCCAAAGCAAGATATAAGAAAACGGAAATTGTTTCGAATCGCGAAATTTTGTGCTTTTTAGCTATATATGTATATCCCTCTATCTAGCTCTCTCTCGGTGAGAATCGTACTCAAATAATGTTTGCCATCACAATCGTTCCAACTTTTTTCCTATTCGAGAACATTCTTATTCTTGGTCCTTCCAATCTGTTGCTTCTCACT